AGAGGTAGGTCTGCTGTGCCATATGGGTCAGCTCCCTGGCCTGATTGAGCTCAGGCCTTAGTAGTTACAGCGCTGAAACTTAACTCTAGGCCACCAGGGAGGCTTTTGTTTTATGTTCTTAAAGAAAATGAGCACAAGGGTTGGTTTTCAGGTTGGTTCTTTTGTCAGTTGCTACACAGTTTAGGTTCTGAATGCGATTTTATTGATCCATTTATTCAAAAGTAAAGTCGGGCACTGACTGAACATATCTTTATAGAATCAGTTTTTAAAAAGCTGTGTGTTTTTCTTATTCATTTTTTTACTTCTTTATCACAATAAACCCTTTCACTTCTTTTTCACTGAAGAGAAGTGATGGAATCAGTGTTTATAAAAGCAATTTAAAAACAAGTACAGATGCAATACAAGAAATCATTAAAGGACTTGATAGACTAAACTGACAGCACATAGTCCTTAATGCTGACAAAGTGTCTTTCTTTTTTTCCTGGCTTCTTCATTATTTTCTTTGCATGTTAATATCAAATAACTATCAGAAGGGGCTCTGTTTAGACACACCTCTGTATTATACATCCACGTACACATGGGCACATACGGACACTTATAACACAGACACACAGTTAAGTGGTGGTCTGTCCTCAGATTGGTTTGTTTGGAAAAATCAGAGAGAATCTTTTTCTAAAACCTATTTCATGCAAGGCAGGCAAATTGTGCTCTCATTTTCTATTGTCTCTGGTTTCATCTGTAATCAGCAAATGGAGCCCTGCAGCCTACACAGTGTTTCATCTGCAATTTGTTGCTCTCCTCTAGTTTGCACAACACTGAACCATCTCATTTTGAAATTCAAGAGTGGCAGAGGAAGCCTTTGGTAGAAGATTGTAATTTGTGAGAAGGGAAAGTCAAGAGCAGGATCATCTATTGTGAAGAAAGCTGGGTGTTGAAGGAAATTGCTTTGGTTAGCTGGTCTCTGAGCCTCTCAGCATATGCGCTGCTGTGACCCTGCCCTCCATCACCAATGACCTAAAAAATCACATAATTTCAACTATTCAGGAAACCTATTCTCGTCTGTTGTGCGTAGCATGTGCACTTACCTCCTGTATTGCCAGCACATGTGTCTAAATCTTTTTACCTCACAGCCAGTCTTTTATTCCTGGCTGGCTGGGTTGCTTTTTTTCCTGAATGCCTTCAAGAATTCTTTAAAGATCTCTTCCTGATCTTTCTGCTCTCCTTTCTTCTCGTGCTCAGTTACTAAATGCTTCCCTTGCTGATATGAGACATAGTTACCTTATTTTCAGAAAGGTAATTCTGGTGGAAAGGACATTATTTTCTTTGGGAATCACTAGCCTAAATCATAGTCCAACAAATCATCATCAGATTTTTGAAAAATTTTTGTTCACTGATTCTAAAGATTTATTCTGTGTGTTAGATAATCCCCCCCCTACATTTTAACCATACTTTACAGACTGTCCAAGTTCCTATAAAGACATTTTGTATGAGTTGCTGATAGTTTGTTGGTGGTGAGGTGGAAGGTGGAGATACAGATGTACAAGCACATGCATGGAATGTGTGAGCAACTCTTGAGAATGTTGTAAGGTGAGCAGTTTATAATTAATTGATTTGTCCTAGTTTTTCATGGTTTATACTGTAGTTTCTGTAATTCCTTCCCTCGAAACATTAAATAAAATTTTAACAATTATTTTGAAGGTAGTAGGTAGTTAGTTAATAGAGGCAGTAAAGAAACAGTAGCTGGGTTTATTTGGGAGTTGTATCAAAGGGTTTTTATACAAAAGTAAAACTAAATCTTTGAAAGAATAATATCTCCTCTTTCAAATATAAACCTCTTCTTTTTAAAGACTTCTTACCACTTCAGCTACCACCTCTGCAAGCAGTTTGATCTTCTCTGTCTCTTCTCGGTCTACACCCTCCAGAACTGGAAAATCTTAAAATTAATTGGAACTAAGATGATTGTGCTGCTGTTGCTAAGACTTTAGCAGGATTTTTACAAGCTAATGTCCCTGCATGGGGTCCATTTGCTCTATGCAGCTAGTCTGCGGGTACAGTGAGAATGCCTTGATTAATATGCTACATGAAAATAAAATGGATTTGGAAGAAATCATACCATATTCTCATAAATATTAATTCACATTCGTATGAAATTGCACATAATTTCTGATATATTTTGGAGCACCAAAGGAGATTTGGTTTTTAAAGAGAATAGTATATATATATATATATATATATATATATATATATTTTAGAGCACAGTTACTCTTAACAGTAGTGCAATTTAATCATATAGAAACAGTGCAAGATGGAACTCAACTGACAGCTTTTGCTAAGGTTCCCATTATTCCAAAAATCTTTTCATGATAGCTATTTTGGTAACATATGAGGCTAAACACAGAGTAGTGTGAACTGAACAGATGTCTGACCTAATTGACTGTAGCTGTAGATGGAGTTCATATAGCAGAGACCTACCTAGAAAATTTACCATGTTTATGCACATGAACATGCTTTTGAGTCAGGAGCCAATGGCCATATGCACTTGCTTTGATCTCATATCTTATTTCCTGAACACTTCCCACCACATCCTCACTGCCTCAGGATAGCTGCCCTGCAGGGATAGCAGGTAGAAGTTAGATCAAAAGCCACTGCACCTTGCTCTAACGGTTAGAACTTTCTCCTTTTCTGGGACTTTGCTATTTTATGCAACCATTTCTTTCTTTTTTGGCAGTAGTGCCTGCTATTTTTTTTTCCTGTTGGTTGGTTGGTTTTCCTTCTTCAGTAAGCTTTTCTAGCTTGCTTCACTCTGAGTTAGATGTAGCTTGTGATATTAAATCACTTGTCATTCATAGTTTGTCTCATTTGTTAATTTTATATAGTAAGCGTAGCTACATATGCCATCTATTATTTGCCTTTCTGAGTATGTGATGTGTTACTGAGATGTATGTGATGTGTTACTGAGATGTATGTGATGTGTTACTGAGATGAAGGATACATTGTCCTTGCCCTTGTATTTTAAAGGATTCATGCTGCTATCTGCCTCAGGGCCTTTGCACAAGCTGTTCTGGCTGCTTTGACTTTCAGAACTAAGTCAGATGGCATTGATCTCCTCAGTGCTAACTAACCCTACGGCTGGACTAGATCTTTGTCCCTAGTTTTGGCACTGCTTTCTTTTAGAGCAATTTAATTTTCAATTACATGTTCATATATCCTGAATAGTAGTTTTCTCCTAAATTGTAAGGAACAGAGCTTTTCCCCCAACATGATTGATTCCCCATCCTGTAGAATTGTACTAAGTTTGTACATGGCATATACTAGGGACACACGCACACACACACACACACACACACTTGTTGAGAGAATAAATAAGAACAGTGTTTTTTGGGGTCCTCCCTTTGTGTTGTAACAGGTTAAAGCATAGCACTATGCAGCTAGCCTTAGCCACTTCTGCACCGTGTGGGTCACCCGGCCAAGGAGGTGACCCACACGGTGCAGCAGACCTCTCCTGTCTAGCCCACTGCTCCCCTCAGCAATGTACTTTGTCATTCTGCCTGTTTTGCTCCTCACTCTGTCTCTGGTGGATCTTCTTACCATTCCCTATACCTCTAGCCTGTATGTACCCCAGTTCTGTATGCATAAATAATTTTTTAAATAAAAAAACATGTGTTTCATTATAATAAAGGTCTTCTCAAGATGTCAACACTGCTAAGGCTCATTGGACTAGAAAAGACAGAGATGTGGAAGGTGGGGGGGGGGTGCTTTCAAGACCAAGAAGAAGCAAGACCAACAAGCAAGTTTAAATAGATCCAAGTTTCCCTACTAATAATCATGACTTATTTTGGGAAAGGCATTGAGCAGCATTGTGTGTGTTGGGTTGAAAGTGCTGGGATGTTGAGAAGTAATACAAAGCTAATTGTTAGAAAGCTAACTGAGTATCACTGAGAAGAAGAAAGAACAAATGGTATTTTAAGGGATGTAACTTAGGCTAAAGGGAAAATTTTGGTTTTGCTTTATTTAATTTTCAAAAGTGAATTTAGGATCACAGAAACTTAGAATTTGTGATGGGATGAGGCTCCATGAAACAGTATTTTCAGTTTATAATCATTTACAAATAGAGTCAGATCATTTTCAGTTTTAATGCTTAATTTGTCCAGTGTCCTTCAAGGTCCAGAGGCCATCACCTGTATCATGTCAGGTCTTTGGGTGTTCTGTAAGTCCACTTTGCATGTGAGTTCATAGTTGCAGAAACTTATCCCAAGTGTGGTAATGAGTAATGTCAGTATCAGGACTGGAACCCAGGTCTTGGTATCTCAGTCTGCTCTGAGCTGCCCACGGGCATAGAAAGAACTCTTCTGGGCTGTGTGGTGTGAAATTCTCTCCTGTAGTTTCTGCAGATGCTGCTCCTATTCCAGAACATCTATTACCCTTCTTCTAACAATGTTCATCTAGGTGATCTTTGCAAAGAAGTGGGAATTAAGAAAACATGCGGAAAAATATATGATGCATTAAGAAAACATTTAATCATATTAATTGATTTTTTTCCCCCCTTACTGGCTCACATCCACCTGGCCCTGGTATGTTCAGTCTCTGATGGTTTTTTGAATTGTGCATGCACTTAGTACTCCCTTCCCCCAAATAAAATTGCTGTACCAACTTGGGAAGTGAGTGTTTTGAACCACTTCAGGAAGTGACAGTTTGTTCTAGACTCAGTATAGAATCAAATGGAAAGCCACTGTCCCTTGCAAGCAGGTAATTCACATTTCCTGGAAAGATACTTTGTGCTTTGCTGAGTTTTCTGCCAAACAAGAACAGAAACTATGTATTTGGGATCTGACATTTGCAATGAAGAAAAATTGAGAAGCATATGTCTAGGTGTTAGGTATTTCATATCTCACTTTCCTGCTTCCCCCTGTCCCCCCTTCTAGTAGCCCCATGTAGCCTGTATGTTGGGTATGACCATAGATACCTATGTAACCACACTTTGTTTTCTTTTTCCTCTGCAGAAGGATGTAGCACTTAAGCCTCAGGAACGTGTGGAGAAACGCCAGACACCTCTAACCAAGAAGAAACGAGAAGCACTTACCAATGGCTTGTCCTTTCATTCCAAGAAGAGCAGGCTCAGCCACCCACATCACTACAGCTCAGATCGAGAAAATGATCGTAATCTCTGCCAGCACCTTGGGAAGAGAAAGAAAATGCCAAAGGGACTCCGACAGGTAAGGATGTTTGGGTTTGTTCTTTTCTGTAGCTGCAGAATCCCTTCTATGGATGCCTGCTCCTCTGTGGTTTTTCCGTAAAAGCTGAAAGCAGGTCCCTGTGACAAGCTGGAGGACTGGTGGCAAGCTGAAGGACTACCTTGCAGAGCTTTGTGCTTGATTTGAAAAGAATAGACCAAACCAAAGTCAGTGTTATGACTTGAAACCTGCACATGCTACCCTTTTAGTCAGCTCTTTGGTGTGTAGCAGAAGTCATTTCTGGTGCTACTGTTGTTAAAAGGCGGACTGACTCCAGTCTTGGTTGTAATCTAGGTAGACTGGCTTGAAAGGTAGGGGTGAGATCTTCATAATTAGGAGAAACTAAACAGATACATTCTGTCACATTCACTGTGTTTCAAGCTTTTCAAACTGGAAATGGTTTCTGCAAGTATCCCCTTGTATACGATTTTTATTTTCCAAGGAAGCTCAAATAGTGTGGCAGGTGGGAGAGCAGTAGTGGTGAAATCACTTGCCTTTCAGTTCCATAGTTGTTCTCCATAGCCCATAATTCAAGACTACTTTTGTTATCTGCTGATTGTATGAAAGTCTGGTAGTGGAGCTTACTGGTCTGTTAATAATTAGGTTTCAATGATCCACGAGAAAATACAGCTCGTGGCATTTGGGGAGCCTTTCTGCTTGTGGAAATCCCCACATGAGATAGATTAATAATGAGAAATGAAGCTGTTTATAGCACTTTTTCTGTACAAATCTGAAGGCTTTAGTGCCTGCTGAGTTACTGTGTCCTGCGTGTGTTTTGTTTGTTTTTGGCAGGAGTAAGGGTGGGATTGACTATTACTTGAAGGAAGCAGAGGAAGGGGGTATGATTCACTGAGCAGGTGCTGCTAATTAGAAGCTGAACAGGTAATTTCCAGTTTGCAGATGTTTCTCTGCAGAAAGGGGAAGATCTGGGATTATACAAAACAGTGGTTGCAGATCCTCACAGATCATTATAGCCTATCATGAGCTGTATTAAACACAAATTCCTAGACCCTCCTTAGAACCTACTTAGCCAGAATTACTAAGTGGTGAGGCATAGAAATTTGTAGTTTTATAAATTTCCAGTTTTATAATGGTTAGTTTGGTTTGAAAGTCACTCTCTTTAAATCTTCTCTACCTACACTTTGGTGATGATTTTTACTTAGAAGCCTGGGAGAACCAAAAATCTGAATAAACATATGAAGAGGTAGATCTCAGGTAAGTGTCCCAAATCTGACACAAGTGTTTCTGAAATAGTTATGTTCAGAAATGCACTTCCAATTTAGAGTTACAATAGTGATATTATCGTTTATCTCATGTATGGTGCATTATAATCATTCGTTAAGGGAACTTGTATAGTATAATTTGTAATTCTTACAACGTTGGCTAGTTGGTGATACACATGGGGAATTGGGATTCAAAGAGAAAATATGACTTGTCTCAGGTCCCTGGGCAGTGAAGGACAACATCAGGGTTAGACAGGGTTTCTCCAGCTTTCTATGTCTTCCCTGTATATTCTGCCATCCTAGCGTCAGAACAGGGTTAGATATAAAGAGAAAGAGATCTCGAGTCACAGCAAGGGAGTGGGGATCAACAAATATTTTTAGGAAAAAAAAAATGTGAGTTGCTTGCTCTGAAGAAGTGATTTCCTGAAGAAGTGCTCATGAAATTGTTAAATGAAAACACAAGAAAAACCGGAGAAACAAGTTAAGTTAAAAGAGCAGAGCAAAAAGCTGGAGAATTTGAAAGAAACATTTGGATAAAGATTTTTTTTTTTAATATTTCATATTTCCTTTTTATGTGGGGTGAGGGAGGAAGTGCTGGCTTCTGTAGACGGATGATGGTCTTGTGTTGTGAACCTCTCCCTGTGAGATAGTGGGAAAAGTAATTATTCCTAGAGGAGAGAGGTTGCAGTATTGCTGCTGCCTCTTCCCTTAGGCTTTCCCACACTCCCAAAGGAGTAGAAGGAAGCCTTCTTACTCTTTCAGGTAAGAAACCAATTTATTTCTGAGCCTACACTAAGCTGTGATTCCTCATCCTTGACTCTCTTATTCCCAGACTTGATCTTACTTCTCTATTCTCTGTCTCCAAATTTCATCTTTCTATTTTGTCCTTTGGCGAAAGTGTTTATAATCATAAAAGAAGGCTAAGACGTGTATGTCTTGAATTTGAGTAGCTTTTGATTCTAATAGCTGCCCTTCTGATACTGATGGTGTTTGAAATCAAAGCTATCTTTGTTGTAGGGAAAATATTTGAAAAGCAATTATTTCACTCTTTATCAATCACTAAGAAGGAAAGAATGACTCTTATCTTTGATGACCTAAGCAAGGGTTTTAAAAACAAATGGTGTTTTCATATCCAAATCAAGTGTTAAAGGGAAGCGATTGATAATTAAGATAAAGCCCTAACACTCTCACTTGTTATAGTCTATAATCACATGTGCTATTATTATAAATTATTGTCCGTTGCTGCCCATCTATAGAATGAGTTGAATTAGAAGATTTCTCCAAATTTATGAGCAATACAGAGATTTACAGTGTTATTGAGACCTTGAAGGAAGATGAAGTAAGCCTGAAACTAACTCAGCTTTGGCATTTGTAGCTCTCATAGGCTCTGTAAAGACATCGAAAGAAGAGGAGTGAGATGCTTCCTAGTAGGAGGGAAACACAACTAGTGATGTGTCAACTCATTTGTGTGACAGGTGCCATCTGTTGTGTGATCATTGTTAGAAAGTGACATGCAAGTGTTTAGTGGTCACAGTAGATGATCAAAACTTGTGCTAAGAATATCTGAGATTGCTTTCCTGTCACCCTAGATGTCTGTACACAGTCATATTCTTCCCTACCTTTCCCTCTTGCCAGATGTAGTGCAACCCTGAGGTGAGAAGTAGAGGAGAATTTCTAAATTATTAGATACGTGTTTACTGCCTCTTCTTGTAAGAGTTATAATCAGAAGAATTGCAGATGAAAGAGGGCAGTAGGAATTGAGAATTTAGTCTTTATATTTGACTTGTGAGAGCAGGTTAGGGTTATAGCTCCTGAAGAGATGGTACTTCCTGAGCAGGCAATTTAATGCATAGCTTTCCTGTCATTATGAGATGTTACTCCTTAGTGGAGAGGAAATAAGAAGTTTTTTTTTTTTTTTTCCCTGAGATCTATTGAAGGCAACTAATCTTTTTACTATGAAGGTGCAATTATATACTTTCATAAGAGAGATGTGCAATTCTAAAATTGAACTGCCTTTTCCTTCTCTTGCCTGATTATAAAACCTCAGTTCTCATGATGTTTATCCATACTGTTAAAAGCAGGCTTTTTAACTGGCATTTTAACCATCCCAGTGGAACTTATTTGTTAGATTATGTTTTTTAGTATAAATACATACTGCCTTAGAAGATGCTGAGCTGGCAATTGACTTGTAAAGTGGCTGCACTTTTTTATATGGTGAATTTTAACATTTAATTTCCAGAGGGGTTTAAAAAATGCAGAAAGGAACAAGTTAACTGTTACACAAAAGAGTACGTCTCTCTGAGCCCTCAAGCTGTATATATTTCCTATGTAGAGTCATGTGCTTGTAATGTAAGTACTCAGGTGTTATATAAAAAAAATTGTTCTCATATGGATATGGTGGGTTTTTTTTTTTCCTTCCCAACTTATACTTGGGGTGGGAAAATCAAGACATAGTTTGCATGGATCTCTCCATAAGGAGCTTTATTATCTAAATGGTAGACTAGGTCACAATGAAACCATTGGTGAACACAATGAAGTCATGTGTTGCTGTTGCCAAAACTTCTAACCAAGTATGACTTCCTATGAAGTATTTTGGAAAACTTAACCCTTCCTGGAACTTAGAGTATAGTTTTCTTCATTAAATCTAGACCATATGGGATGCTTTAAAAAATTAGTACTTTGTAAAAACTGAGATTAAAAAATGGTTTTTAAAAATAGAGAGGCTATGAGGAAGAGTTGGTGAATGAACACTCAAATTTGGCTCTGAACAGATATTTCTAAAGCTCTACTTAGTCTACTAGTCTATCCTTTTTTTTCTGTATTTTTTAGTATAAATTGAATGAGTGGATATATACTTAAGTGAAGTAGGAGGGATTTTTAGGTTATGTGAACTCTTTTAGTTGATAGCACTTCTGGATCATCTAAATCAGTCCCAGAGTTTCTCTGAATTGAATGTTAGGTGACCAAAGCCATTCATCTAAGGGAAGAAATTCCCCATGAAAGAGGCAACCTTTTGAGGGTTTTTCCATTGTAGAAGAACATGAAATAACTTGGGAATATTTCAGGAACTTACCCTTGAAATGAAAATGGGGTATAAGGTTCAAAAATCCTTATGCAAATTGGTTTGAATAGGCGTTAACTTGTAGGAATGGAAATTTGTTCCTTTCTCTGAAACTCTAGTACCAGTGGAGTCAAACTTGGTGGAGGATTTCTAACTGAAATTATACATAACAAAAATCATATGCAGAATTGTAAGTTATGGATCCATAACTTAAGGATAGCATAACTTATGGATAGTTTTTAGGGAGAATGGGGATTAATGCAAAAAAATTAGAGCTTTGGTCAAGGTATGGGTGGTAGTTGTGTGGTGGCTTTGCACGTTGGCTTTATTTGTAATAAGGGGTTGTTTCAGTGTAGGGCGTCCAGGTGACTAAGCCACTGGCTATGTTTCTACATTCCCAAAGGAATAGTATATTTTGCTCTGTGCTCTTTCTGGAGAGCGTTTGCTATCAAAGACTGATCCTTTATTGCAGTGGGTCTGACTAGCATTGTCTTAGGATTTCTCTGTGACATTTGTTACTGATAGAAATTAACTTAAGAGAATTTATAATGGAGAACTTTGATTAAACAGATCTAGCTCATGTCACATTTCTGAAGACCTGCTAATTAGTTTGGGGTAGAAATTCATGCTAAAATCACACAGGTATTTATCTAGCTTGACTCTGGAGTCTGCAGGATTTAGGAAATCAGAGCATTTGA